TCCACGAGGCTTACAGATAGTGCGGAATGGCTTGCTAGTTCGAACTATCTAGCCCGTGCCGCGTGTAGCCGCGTGGCACAGGGTTCGAACAAGCCGGCATTTAAAAATGGCGGCTCCCCGCTTATGCAAATGAAGTCCGGGAAATTCAAATCCCGGGCTTCATTTGCAAGTGCGGTATGCCTACATTACCCCGCTACTTCGAACTAGCGGGGTAGTGTAGACATACTCTTTGTGCTTAATACATGTTTCTACTGTCGCTGATTTTGAATAACTTCTACATCGCATACACAGTTCATTCTTCATCCGTCAGGGCGTGTGCCTGGAGAGACACAGGTGTTCTCAAGCCATGTACGTGTTGTTCTGTGTTTCTCTGTAGGCATTTTATTTTACTTATCACAGTGGGGCTACGTCTACACTGGCATGATTTTCCGAAAATGCTTTTAACGGAAAAGTTTTTCGTTAAAAGCATTTTCGGAAAAGCACGTCTAGATTGGTAGGATGCTTTTCCACAAAAGCACTTTTTGTGGAAAAGCGTCCGTGCCAATCTAGACGTGGTTTTCCACAAAAAAGCCCCAATCGCCATTTTCGCGATAGTGCTGTTTTCCGCAAAAAAGCCCCGGTGCTGTCTACACTGGCCCTTTTGCACAAAAGTCTTTCGGAAAAAGACTTTTGCCCAAACGGGAGCAGCATAGTATTTCCGGAAAAGCACTGACAATCTTACATGAGAGCGTCAGAGCTTTTCTGGAAATTCAAGCGGCCAGTGTAGACAGCTGGCAAGTTTTTCCACAAAAGCAGATGATTTTGCGGAAAAACTTGCCAGTCTAGACACAGCCTGGGTGGACCATAGAGGTTAAAAGACATAACAACAAAGCCTTTTGCTCCTAGCTATAATCTGGCCCCACTTAACTAAGACCAGGGCTCTTGTGCTAGGCTCTCTACATACATTGAGTGAGAGGCCTCCCCTGTCCCGAGCAGCCTGGAAACTAACCCAGCAAAGGGCGGGATGGGAACAAATGGAAAAGTGATTGCTCCACAGTAAGACAGGAACTCAGTGGCAGAGCTGATCAGACCAGGTCAGCAAAAGGGGTTCTGCGAGGCAATAACGCGTGACAGAGCATCACATGGAGGCTGTCGCCTCATCCCGGGACGTGTGTTAAAATTCCTTGTGTGGAGCAGCACTGAAGAACTGCGGGATCTGCGCTCTGTAGGGGCCGATGCAGGAGGTCTGCCTGTTGCATACAAAGGGTAGGGTCGCGGATGGAGAGGGACACCTGCCCGGGCCCCAGCAATTTAAAAGGGCCAGGACTCCTGGCTGCTGCTACCTTGGCCACAGCAGCAGCTGGATCTCCAGGCCTTTAAAATAACCACGAGATCCCCAGTGGTGTAGAAGGTCTGGCTGCGGGAGGCTAGCTTCTGAGCCCTGCCCCTTCCATCTAACACCCCACCCCTCTCAAGCCTGGCGAAATCTGTCTTCAGAGATAGTCACCCTTAGTCAGGCTGAGGAGTTCTTAAGGTGCATGACATTGCAGTTGCTGCACTACAAGAAACCAAGCCGCAAACACGGAGCAAGCTGCAATGTCTAAATGTAGAGCTTTGGACTCTCTGCCACTGTGAACCACACAATGCACAGCCAGGCCCTCAGCCATCGTCTGGAAGAGGTCGCAGTTCTGGAGCAATCTGTGGGAAACGATTGCTGCAGTAGGCTTTGGAGAGTTGGCCATAACAAACCTCTGCATTACCACCTTTTCCCTACCCCACCGTGTACCTGGAGACTTTGATAGCCCGCCCTCACCTTGGAGCAAAAACGATACAGCTGGTGAGCAACTCACAAACTGGGCTTGTAGATGTTGACTCCTTTATGACACTAAACAAGCAAGGACTTTTCACCCAGCCACGTGGAACACAACCCAGATCTTGGTTTTCTGATAGAGGCCAACATTGATGTCCTACAAACTTTACAAAAGTGCTTGGAAAATGTCCATGTCGTTAACACCATTCCACCACTCCGCAGGGCAGCTCTGGAGTTCTGCTGGTTGAATCAATGCTGGGATTTCTGCACAGCAAACTGGGCTGCGTGTACCACAGCCGTTAACGACAGGGTGCAGTGTACCCAGCTTATCCCAGAACATTATGACCTTGTTCGCCTTCTTATCGAAGCTGCCACGAAACTCTGTCTTTGGCTGCCCTGGCCACAAGGAATGAGGCACTCTTTCAAAAGCATGAGAAGAGCAGTGACCCAGACACAGCCAAAGCTCTAACAGAGTCGTTGAATTCTGGGAGACGGTGAAGGGTCTCGACTTCACTCATTGATGGAGTTTTGCTGAGTCAGCAGCTCAAAACTCACAGTGCCCAAGCTTTTCAATGGCAATCAAAAATGACGGCTACCGCTGTCACCTCACACCTTGCCCAGAATTCAGCAACCGAAACTGACAAACTGACTAGACAGAAGGTTGAGAGAGCGCACTTTCAAAATGTCCGACAAAGCCCCAGCACTTTATTTCTTCTCTAGTGTTTGCGGCAGCTAGCGGTAATCACCGCAGACATTGAGAAAGCTTCTGGCAAGGACGACATCTATCCCAAATTCTTTATGAATTTGGGGGCACAGAGAAGAGGATGTTTGGCATATTTCTTCAGGCCATGTCTTCACTAAACAAAAGATCGATGCTGTTGCGATCGATCTTTCAGAGTTCAATTTAGCAAGTCTAGCTGAGACTCATTAAATCAAACTCAGAGAGCCTGGTACACCTGATTCTGTGAGGAGTAAGGGAATCTGATGGGAACTTTTGCTCCCATCGGCCTCCCACTGTGGGGAACCTCCAAAAAGGCAATTAATGTAGCTGATTCATCATTCCCTTTTAGTGTAGAACTGGCCTTAGTAATTTATATTTGACAGAGAAGATCCCAAAATACTGGTGTGAGGTGATAGTAGCCAACATTGTTGTTTCCCCTTTTGCAGATGTCAAACTGATGCTGCCAGCTACTGCCCAATATCACTCCTCTCCACAACTCACCAGTTAATGGAGAAGGCTGTGCTGGCTCTTTCACCCCTATCTTCGAGGCCATCCTGCCAAAGCAATAGGCTGCTTTCACACTGGGAGAAGTCTCTGCAATGAGGTTCTTGCAATTACTGGTCACATTCAGGCTGGCTTCAAGTGGAATCTAAAAACTGGAACAGCACTAATCGATTTTTTCCCTGCCTGTGACATGGGATGGGGAAAGGGGCTACTGCTCATGCCATCACAGGTTATCCAGTGTCATAGTGTTGTCTGACTCCTGGCCACCATGTGACTGGCCACCATCTGACTCCTGTTGCATGGGCACATCAGCAAAGCATGTGCCCTCTGTGACAGTGTACGGCAAGAATCTGGGCTGGTTCCTTCACTATTCAGCATCTACATTAACAACTTACCTGACTAAAGGTCACAGGGCAAAGGCCTCACCCCCAGCAACAACAGACCTCGGTACTGGAAACTCCATCCCAGTGGCTCTAACACCTTGGCAATAGCCTTTCGCCAAAACAGCAGGCTTCTAAGGAACCACTGGTTGTCTCCTGTACAAAGTACTTCACGGTAACCTGGGATACAAGTCTGACTCCTGCAGCTCGTCTGGAAAAAATGTGACTAAGTAAAAGCAAGGACTGGCCTTGTCCCCAGACTCCCAAGTGCAGCGAAGGATGCCAATGCACGCACTTCGACCAGCGACTCTAGACAGGTCTACCTGCCCATCCGTCTGAGCAGGCAGCTCTCTCACCAGTTTTCTAGACGGGCAACTCAGTGCTTCAGTATTGCAGCTGGAACATTGAAATCAACACCCATCCAATGGTTGCCCACTTTGATACCTACTCCATCACCTGAAGTCTGGAGATTACCCCCAGGCTGTGTGTGCATGTACAATGGAACCATGGCTGACGCAATTCATGAGCACCTCCAGAATTTTCCCAAGACACATCTGAAATCCCACAAACCTCTTTGGGAAGAGACTAAAGCTCTTGAGGATTCCTCATTCAATCCTACAATGCTCTGGCAAGAATTCTGGGATAATGCTAATGTCCCAGACAAACTCCTTGTTGCTGGCCCTCAACTTGCAGGATCCAACCTACCCTGGAAGCAATGACCCGCTTCAGAAGAGGACATGCCAGGTGCTGTCCTCTCCTACACCTCTGGAAGAGGAGCAACAATGCCTAACATGACAGGACACCCGGCACAGTCTGTGGACCACACTGTAAATCAGTCCCCACTTGAATCATTTGCCTTTGGCATTTCAGATTTATACCAAAACTCTTCTGAAGCTGCCTCCTGGCTCCTCACTCTGGCCTTTGCTATTTGAACATTGCTGCTCCCCTCTTTTGCCCCAGGTGAAGTGGCAGACCCACAAATAGAAACTCGTTCTCCTGAATCCAAGGCCCTGCCCACTGGACCATGGTTCCTCTTGCAGGTGTCAGTGTTTTCGTGAAAACCTTCCACGTGTGACATGCCTGTTGTTGCTTTGCTGGTGGCGCTACAGTGGCCGTGGGAGCCCTAGTGCAGTAAAGGCATTGGCAGCCCCTTGTGTTTTAATCGCCAAGGTGTGCTGACCTGCACTGACCTGCGGATTGAGATGCCAGCGGCTGGTCTACAGTCGTGGTTCTCCAGACAGAGGTGCACGTCTTTATTCTTCCCATCCATCCTGTTTATGTTCTTGTACCAAGCTCATGGTCATAACATCTGAGCACAGCCCA